CTCCTGAGATGCTGGGGGGGGGACGTGGTTGTAAGGCAGCGGGTACCCCCGTGTGCCGTCCTCCTCCTCCTCCTCCTCCAACTTCTCTCTGGATTTGGGCACGATTTGCCAAGGCTGGGTGGTGTGAATATGCGCAGAGGACTGGCTTGGTGGTCTGCGTTTCTGGGCCACAATCCAGTATGTGCCGGGGATATGGTAAACTGTTCCGAAATCCTCAAAATGGAACGCTTCCAATTTGTGGAAATACGCACGGGTATGAAGATTGCATGTGGCTGTTAACCAGTACGCCCCGGTACACATCGAGCTGCGCCCTCTTCACTTCGCGTTGTCAACAAAGGAAACGTGATTTCGAGAACTGAGCCACGTGAGCAACATGCACTTGTCCCTGTGAAGTGTCTGGTTGCTCACGGCTCTTAGAGAGACCTTTCGGTTTATATAGGCAAAGGCTACATCCCCCGTTTCATGCAGATGTTACTTTCGATAGATCGCGGCAAAAGGCCCCGCGCGGTCTTCCTGGAACAGGAAACATCGCCCGGCAATCAGACACGCCATCGAAATTGCAATGATCATCTCGCTGGAATGAGTGAGTTGACAGTGCTCACATTGCAACAGACTTGACATGTTGGCACGGGAGTCTTTTGGCAAAATGTGTGTGACGTAGTGTTGTTGGTCCTTTTGTGGATGGAGCGCTGTTTGGTAAATACTTAGCAAAATCACTTTGGCATGACTCCGCATGTCGAAACGTCGACGCATTGACAGGAGACGCTTTGACAACACGGGTTTGACAATCGTGTTGTTTTTTGCCGCGATGGGGCGCTGAAAAAGAAAAGTTTTTCCTTCTAGCAGGAATTTTCCCAACCCTGATTTTGAACATTCCCATAGGAGACATTATGTGTTTAGGGACATGGACAAAAATTAGCCCACCGACAGCAGCAGTCGTGCGCCCAACAAAAATGTTGCGAACACAAGTTTTTCAGGATCTCAGCTCAAAAGTGGCGCGCCGCTGGCGCGCCGACACGCCACACAATGTAGTTGGCCATGGAACTAAAGAAAGGGCCACTCCCATTGGCTCTAGCTTCAGCCCATTAGTTCATCCCATTAGTACAGGAATCGGCCCAGTAGTCCAAGCTACGCCCCAATAGTTCGCGGGTCTGAAGGGTTCTGATTTAACAGAAATTCTGTTTCCCATTCGTCCAAAGAACGAATTCTGAATCGTTTTGTTATTCCGAAGATCGTTCCCACTAGTCCAAACTTCAGCCCACTGGAGCTACGTCCCATTAGTTTAGGGCCTAGGGGTATGAGGATTGCTTTTCAAGTCAGCTCATGCCTCGGATGTCCGGATGGCGTTGTACCTTAACCGCTACTAACCATGGCAAGGAAGTAACAACTGGCAAGGGTGCGCCAGAAGAAAAAAAAAACAAGATCGATTCTTGGGACGTCGTCTAGTTGGGTCGCGTTTTCAGGAAGAATGCGACCTGACAAAAACAACGTTTATCAATGGGAACTCCAGAAGACATTCTAATCACAGTGTTCTTAGCCTCTTGTGTCTTGTGCTGCTTTCAGATGCGGGGCCAGGTTTGGTCTGACCATTTGGGGGTGTGCCGGTGTTTTGTATTAGTATGAAGAGGTTGTATACCCCGTTGAAGCAGCGGTCCACGCATCTGGCGAAAATGGGCTTGCAAGAGTTTTCGTCCAACATCTTATACACATGCGGGCAGCAGTGTATGTGAGCTTGCAAGGACGTACAATCACGAAGGTTGCATTTGTGTTGATCTGCGGGTGAATCAATATCAGGGCTCAAGACTGTTGGAGCCGAAGCCCTGTGAAACGCAAAGCTACCAACGTTTTGCAGTGCGACCTCGCAAACATGGCAGCTACTCACCATAGTTTGTTGTGGTATGACATATTGGAATTGTGGCCGAGGTTTGAGATGTTTTTGGTTTTTCCATGGGAGTTCTGGACCGTGCTAGCAAGGGTAAGTTTCCAGGGTCCCCGGCCTTCCACCAGGTTGTTCACATCGCTTTCAGGCTTACAATTTCGATGCAAAAGCAGTTGTGCAGGGTTTCAAGGATGATACAATAATAACAGCTGCAGTTTAAACTCCTTAAAGAGGTGTTTACACGGGAATTATACAGGGGACCACTATGGGGGCCATAAAGGGGGATACGAGGAGTTTAGAGTATAGTACATATGTTCAAGTTTGGTTTGGTCGCAAACTCGCAATTTCCATGCCACCCAATAACAAACCCATTTCTGGTCTTGATTTCCGTCAACATTTTATCCCAGACATGTTTCTCAATATATGAGCTTTGGATCATACTGTGGTTCTCGGACAGTTCTGCAAACAATTAACATCCTTGGTGAAATAGTCCAACGGTAGGTCAGGCTGTGCAAAGCTTGAATAGCATCATGGTGGGTTTCGTCATGGGTCCAGCTAATCCAGTTGCAGCACGGCATGTGAGTTGGTCTCAAAACGGGCCCTTTGAGGCTATGATGCTGACCATGGCCCTGGCCGCCCTTGGATTTGTGCCCTGTCGTGGTTGCGTTCGCAAAGGGTACACTGGGGTAAAACGCTGTTTGATCTCGTACAGTAAGTCACTTCTAGAGTTCCAGCCCTTTGGAGTAGTAACTCAGTAGTAAGCTTTGGATGGTTGTTGTTGCGTGAAAGAAAACATCTAGGAAACCAAAGGGGTGTGCAGGCTTCTTTTCAGGGTTTTGTTGCAGCGCACTGTTCTTGTTACTTCATGTCATCCAAATGCCATGTCAAGCTGACAAGTCTAAATGATGGCAGCTGTGCCCATCAAAGAGCCTAAACCCTAAACCCATTTGATTCTCCATTATTTGCTTAAAAAAGCACCACAAAACCCCTATATTGGAGCAGCGTCCATTTAGTTTCCCCTTTCTCTTTTCGCGGGATTCTGCATGATTTCTGTATAATTACCCCTAAATCTCCTCATAGACCCCTCTTAGCATTAGGCCCTTAGGCTGCCTGCAGTGCATTGTACTTACCTGCCTGTTTGCCAGGTTTCACAAAGGTAATCAACAGATATCCGAGGACCCTAGGATGAAGGGCTAAGTCCAAATGGCAATAAAATAACCCCAATATATACCCCATCATAATATAGTTGTTTCCATGTTCTTCTCCATTATAACCTTTATAACCCCCATATATTCCCGATATATCCAGCCTTAGAACATAGCCTCTTCAAGCCAAGCATGCAATACCACCGTGATGGATACGAAAACATCATCAAAATTTCGGACCTCTGATGCAACCCACATCAAAAAGCACATGCGTGTTGACTTAACATACGAGCATCTCACACCTTGCTGCACAATTCTTGCAGATAACCGCAGTTCTGCACACCAAAGACCTCATCGCAGATCCTTTTTGACTTCCCAGGCCCATGTCCAGGCGGGCAAGTTGGCAGTTGTCCGCGTATTTTCTACAGATGAGGAGGCGCGGAGATCTTCAGAAAAAGGATTTGATTGGAGCCAGGCTTGGAATTTAGAGTGTCATTGTTTATGAAGTCTGGAAAGAGCGTAGCGACTGCTCATGTTGGTGGCTCAATGCGTTATGCTGCAATCTTATACGTGAGAAAACCGTTGGTGGTGGTTGATGGGGATAGTCATGGTGAAGGATGAAGCATAGCTTTAGTCATGCGGATGCGAATTTGGTGCTGGCTGTTGCTGAAGTCGTTAAGGTTATGGTGCGGCTCGTAGTGGTAGTCATTGCAGTCGCTTCTCTTTCGGCAAGGTAGCCGTGTTGGATTGTACACGAGAGTCTTTCGAATTTAGGCGGGCAGGCTAAAACGCAACATGTCAGATATTTACATCGCCCAGCATTCCTAAACAAATCTAGGCATGTCCATATTTTCAAATCAGAACAGTTTCCTTGCAATTGTTGAATCCTTACGGACTCGGCACCCTTTCCAGGCAGCAGCATGCACTGTGGATTGCATCGAACACATTTCTGACAAGCTGTAAGACCCCAAGCGTGGATTCTCTGGCAGGTGATGCTCTTGAATGCTAGCAGCACGCTGTGGTCGACGGTCGGACCGTGCACTAGCAAACCATCAAGCATGATTGACCTCATCCTGGTTTACAGTGACCTGGCTGTCCATGCATTCTGCTATGGTAGGACTCTTTCAGTTTGTATGTCAAAAGGTGAAAAATCTTGTCGGCTGCTCGAAAGGGAAACCTCGAATCTTGAAGGTTTACTGGTGTAGCACACAGAACCGGGAGCATCTTTGAGATCGGTTGCTGGTAGTTGCGTGCCTCCCAAAAGTGCTGAGGCAAGGACCTGTCGTCAAACTCGATGGCAAGCGAGGCAGACCTCCGCTTCTGTTTCCCAGACCCCCTAAAGGATCCAAGAAATGGACCCCCCCCAAATTTGAACCCATTACTACATTGGGGAAACTAGGGGATTATTAGGGGGTTCCATTTTTTTGGATCCTTTTGGGGGTCTGGATTTACATGGCTCAGCTGTATGGACTGCAGGAGCCTTCGGTCATTGGTTTCCTCCCTTTGCCCTCTAGCCACGCGGGCTCTCACGCCATCTCACTGTCAGCAACGTCAGACTTGCTCGGACAGGTCGTGATGGATCTCGAAACAACCTTCAGCAACAATGCGTCCAGCTGGGTGAATTGTTTTGCGCCGCTTGGTGTGCGAAAATCTGTTTTCATGTTGTCCGTTGGGAGACCCATGATCTTCAAATGAATTCATATGCATGCTTCAAAGCGGGCACCATGACCAGATCTGCAGATGGAGCTTCCATCTTTCTTCCTTATGCTGCTTGCGACCATGCCATGTTCCCGGAGTAGCCAAGGCGTGCCAAAGCACTTATGAAGTAGACCCTGACCCTCCTAGCTTAATACACCTCGCGAGCTTCAGGTTGCGAGGAGTTGCGCGGTACACCCCGAAGCCACCCCACATTTTCTTTTCCATAGTCTGCTTCTGTTTACTAGGGCCACCTGTACATGGAACCGTGGCAGTACCTAGAAACCGCAACTGGGGGTTCTGGCAGGAATGCTATTTGTTGTGGTTTTGGACATAGTCCTTGTAGTAGGGGGAAGAATCCAGTGCTGGGCGGGCCTCCAGGGCCGTGCCCGCACTAGCCCTCGTTTCACTGCGATTGGAGTCTTGACGGGTTGTCGACGAGATGTTTATCCCGTCCCTCTTGCAAGTGGATGCTTCCTATGTCAAGGGATTTTCATGGCAAACGCATTACTTGGCTTCACACATGTTTGTTGCATGCTCCAAGATGACCTCATGCTGCCTTTCGGGTTCTGGTTTGTTAAGTGATGGGAGAGGTCTGAGGGGCGTTTCGGCCTTGCATCCAGTGCATTCCTTGGCTGAGGGAGATCAAGAACATGTCCGCCATGCTGAACCCGGAGCAAGATGTGTACGACAGCAACGGCTACACCACGAACAAGCATTGGGTGTCCGGCCGTGGCCTAAGAAATATCACAAGGTAGCTGCAATCTGTTGTCTGGAGCCTTCCTCTGCAGAAAGAGTCATACCTTATTTGTTTGTAAATTCAAGCATCCGACCCTAGCTCCATCGCCGAAGCTTGGGGTCAGCTTACATTTTCAGTGGGAACTGTTTGAGGGGCGGAAAGTGGTAATCCCGTGCTATTCCCTAGAGTTTCCCTCAGGATGCCCTCAGAGGTCCAAACAGTGTCTTCAAGAGCATCGTGGATGCCATGTACACGGGCCCCTTCAAGGGCATGTACGACTCCTTCTTCCTCATGGACGGGCTTGGGAGGGACTCAGCAGGTCCGATCGCTCCAGGGATAGTTTTCGGGGCCAGAAGGAGGAAACAGAGGAATGGATTATGGCGTGAGTATGGTGATTGTCATTGTGGATGATACAGGAGCTACTTAGGACCCATTCTGTCATTGCCCAGGGCACAGGTGAGCCTCTCTTCTTCACCGTGCAAGAGGGTGCCCTCATTCCCGGTTCGTGGTCAGCGCGAAGAAGGTAGAAGGTAGAGATTGCTGATATCCGACGAGTTTTTCAAGGCAATTCATTTTACATTCGCTGTTGGACATGATGACTGAAGAAAGCGCTTGATGGTTCAAGCTCCTGTAACTGTTGTGCAGACTGGTCTTCTGTGCAAGTTCACTTGACAGGCAAAGTCGTAGGTACGCTAACGCGAAACTTTAGCATGGCCTTAATAGTCCCTCTTTGTCCCTTATTCTGGGGGTTGTTATGTGGGGGCCCCTGTTGGGAACCTATATCTGGGCCAGGAGATGGATGCCGTGCCCATTAAGGCTGGCTGGCTCGACCAGTTTGAAACGGAGGCAAGCTGGTACACTCTTCGAGAGCTTGATTCAGATACGGTGGTTGAATTACATTGTTCCAGGATGCATTAGCCTCAAGTGAGGCGCTCCAGATACGGTTGAATTCCAGAATTATCTCAAATCATGGGTTTGGAGCTTCGGTAACTTTGCGAAGGAGGTCTTGTCCCCAGCGAATGGAGAAAGATCAGTAGTTGTGTAGCAATCGCGGGATTGTTCATTGTCACGTGTCTGCTGGCAAGCCGCTTGGCCTTGCATCCTTAAGCGTTAATCTCTGCCACTAAACCACGCGTTGACTCTTAACCCAACATCCAATACACTTCACTCCCACCCCATAGACCAATGTGGGCACTTCCCGTAGTGAGCGTCCCTTATGCTGCTGGCTACCGCAAGAGCTGAACCCAAAGTTGCAAGATGCTAGGCATTGGAGATGCCATCCCAGAACATGGCAGTGCGAGGAAGCCAATACCTAGGCCAGTGGGAGGGTTGGCAGGGTGTTCTTCAGCTTATGAATGCAGAGTTGGGCTGGGACTGCCAGATAATCGCTCCGGAAAAAACCCGGAAGCTTCCCATGATGTAATAGGCTTACAATGCGGCACCGAAACAAAGCGACCTCACATGTTTGTAAGGTAAGGTAACAGCAGAAGTTAGTCCAGGGAAGATCAAACTCTAACCCTAGCATGCTCCTCTGTCCCGCTTCGAGTCTTTGTGGGCGTTTTCATTAGCAAACTTCAGGGGCTCACGACTTCAGGGGCAACACTACCGAAACTGTATGATCTAATCTTGTCATCAATCAGATTGCATTCGCAACAAAAGGGAAAGCACCATGAATAGTTGTGGCTGTCCTAGTCACGAGCACAGTGGCAATTCATGTAGGACTGGTATTTTAATAGCGGTACCGGTTGCTAAACTACGTGAAGAGTAAGAACTAGTAGCATTGACGGCAATGCTGACACCACGAGTGCTGAGTATCAAAGTATGTTCATACCGGTGACATGGAACAGAGGCTTTAAACTTTATGTTGCGAGTAGTGGTAGTGTAGCGCTTGTAGCGTATGACCACCAAAAGGCGAATTCGCGCGGCCAATCGTAATAATGCAGATCACATTTCAGCAGCAGTAGTAGCAGTAGTAGCAGTAGTAGAAGTAGCAGTAGCAGCAGTAGCAGTAGCAGCAGCAGTAGCAGTAGCAGTAGCAGTAGCAGTAGCAGTAGTAGTAGTAGTAGTAGTAGGAGGAGCAGCCGCAGTGGTAGTGGAAGTGGAAGTGGTAGAGGTGGTAGTGGTGGTAGTAGTAGTAGCAGTAGTAGTAGTAGTAGTAGTAGTAGTAGTAGTACGAGGAGGAGCAGCAGCAGCAGCAGCAGCAGCAGCAGCAGCAGCGGTAGTGGTAGTGGTCGTGGTCGTGGTAGTGGTCGTGGTACTGGTAGTGGTAGTGGCAGTATTAGAAGCAGAAGCAGAAGTAGCAGTAGTAGCACCACTACCACTACCGTTGCCGCTGCAACTACCACCATCACGATATTGCCACCTGCAGCACTTTTGCTACAAGTTGTGCAAGTCAACATGAGAAATGTGCGGGAGCGCATGCCCTTAGAATTTCAATAGAGAAACCCTAAGGGTCCATGTACCCAACAGTTAGGTACTTGGGATATAGGTAATAGTAATCATAAGCCAAAGCGCCCAGAACCTTGGCCGAGGCGACAAGTGGGACTTGTTTAAACACATGATGCCGGAGTACCTGGTGGAGCACATCAACGGCAATGCCATCTACAACCTCCAGCACAACTGGACTCAGTGCCCTTCTTTTTTGCTTTTTTTGTTGGCCATGTCTCAAGATGAGAGTCCTCCACATCATTCCCCCTAAGCAGAAGCATGGACTTCTCCCATTCAATGGGATTTTGACCTTGAAGTAGATACGGCTTTGGATTTGTAGGAGGAGATCGCTCCCCTCATGTCAAGGAAGGAGTAGTGGTATTGGTGGTGCTGACGGTGGTGGTGGTCTTGGTGTTACAGTACTAGATATTTCGGTGACCGATATCAGAGTCAGATGATATCGTCCTTTTGGAGTATAGATTAAATATCAACAAAATATATCCTTACTTGGTTCAACCACCAAAATAGCGCTGCTCGCGCTTGTGTCATCACCATGGCATGGCAACTCTGCACCCAGACCCAGCTTGCACTTTCTTCGACGTTGCGCAGTTTCCAGCTTAAGCGTGCGGCTTCACTGTGTACATGTATACAAATATACACGTAGGTCATGTTCCTTTATGACCCGTATATAATAACTATAACCCCTGCAAAATCCTTTTACATTAGGGTTTAGTGTGGGCTCTGCCAGAGTGAGCTGAGAAGATTTGAGAAATCGAAGGTATTTGCACAACACCTTCACGGCGAGTGGCAGCAACAACATGATGGAAGAAATGGCCTTTGACGTGGCTTACGCAGCTTGACTCAGAAATTCATGCACACCGAAAATCTGAACTCCGTAAACGCCCTCTAGGATACAAAATATTGAAATGGGATGACAGGGCTCGATTTATATCTTCAACATGAGGCGGCCCACAGGGAAATTCCATGAATCACCAGTGTAGCGCTTGGAAACCGCCAGGCCGGCGCTAGAAAGTCTTTCAGCACATCTAGATTGATCGTATCCTGAAGGGCTGCGCGAGTTTCAGGAATACTTATGTTGCCATGTATGTTTAGACGGACATGGCAAAACAATCTCCGCGCTAGAAGTTTTCTGCAAATCCAGCAATTGCAGTAGCAACGAGCTTTGTAACAGGAAGCCGGTTTCAAGTTTCAGGCATGAGGCAGCATGCAGGGGAAACAGCATATAACCATTGCAGGAGCAAGCCTTCCTGAAACAGCGCCTATGTCCTTATCAGCACCTTCAAGTAAGAAAGGGTCTGTAACCCTGTTCGGACAAGGGTGCATCCGTGTATTCAGGAGATCATTCAACTGGCTTATGTGTTGGCTAAGCAGACTTCAAGCTGCTTTCGAAGTTATCAAGCGGATGTCTGTCAGCACAGTATTTTATAAGCTTATGGATATCGATGTGGGATTCTGGGTTTGGGGGGTTAAAGGTTGACCGGTTCATTGTATTACGTTTGGTTTACCTATAGGCATGATTATACTCTGCTCGGACCCTGAATATGGGTTTACTTCTGTATTGCCCTGTTGAGAACTGCCCTGGAACATGTGAGTCAAGGCTTGACACCAGGGACACGTGAAGATTCTTCCAATCTGTATACAGAGCTTTTCCATACTCTCAGGCTGACAGGAGAGTACCTGTTAGCCGGTCCCTGTTTAGCACCTCCACCTCTGTTTATGTGCGCGGACGACGGGACTCCGCAGAAAACTTGGGGCAAACGTGAATATGCCCCAAGTGCAGTCAGACCCTACCTACAGCTCAAAGCTTGAGAAAGCGTTATATGTACCAAGGCCATGATCACAATGGGAGCCATGAGCGGCGAAGCGCCGTTGCACGTCAAAAGTGATGAAGCTGGAAGTTTTCAACAACTGGGATCTTTGTTTCAGGGTCCTCAGAAATGGGCTAGTGGCGAGAGCGCAGGATGTTGCTCAATCAATAGTCCTCATATGGAGATTTACAAAACTAGGAGGCCGGTGTTGGGAGTCCCCATAAAAAGGATTCTGGAAACCTTAGGGTCGAAGGGTCCCCCCTTCTTGCGAAATTTTGGCATGTGAAGCAGCTTAAGAGCATGTTGCAAGCTAACCGTGATGCCAGTCTCCTATCCCAGCCTAGATTTCTACATGAGCACAAGAGCTACTTCCTCGCATATACGTACAGTACAGAAACCAGTGGCCCCAACAAGTTAAGAAGCTGTAGGCATTTTCATTTTCCCTTCGGCTGATGAGATTGCTGTGCATTGCCGCAGTAGCCGAACACTCCACGTCATCTTGTGAATCATCTACCCATAATCTGGTGCTAGCAGAGGCACTTGGCACTCAAGTCTTCCAGACTTCGCTTGTAGGGTATGGCTTGCTCATGTTTTACTCCGACAAGCTAGGTGGGTCTGGGTTGGTGATTGCAACCAAAGCGGATGTATACATCTGCTGGACTGTCAGGAGTATTTTGTCAGGATTTCCAGAAGCTTGAGACATTTCTATATCTATAGCTCAAAGGGGTTGAAAGTGTTATGTTGCAGCTTATATGTAGCCCCAGATTGTTAGGGAGTCTCTGTCTTTACTCCCACATCAGCTACAAGGGTCCTTGTTAAGGCGAGCTTGTCAGCTGTGAGCAGCCCAGGGTGCAGGTGCGTAAGAGTTAAGCCTGGATGATTGAGGTTTGCTGCTGCCTGGACGGAAGCCGGCGGTACCAACACCACCTACAACCCTATGTCCATGCTGGTGGGCAATTATGTCGCCTGCTCAGCTTCTGTTATGCCTCATTCTTCTTCTTACCTGCGGTTAGCTAGGAATGAAGGAATGGATCCTTATGGTAGTCCCTATATAACTCCTCAAAGTAGTTTCCATTTTCTTTTCCTTTTTTCGTTCCCAGCTACCCAAGTTTTGCTGTAGTCATGCAGACCCTTCTTCTTGCCAGGCCCTAAACCCCAAACCCTAAACATACAGACCATTGCAAGACCAGCATTGGCGAGGCCAACACCCTTCTGAACACTAGCTACGAGTTCCCCAGCTTCATCCGGCACGGCTCCAGCAAGAACCTCTTTGAGAACCTGCCGGCGGGGTTGCATGGGGTTGTCAGAGGCATCTGTGATTCATCCATCAAGGTCATGTCCAGCCGAGGTTCTTTGTTATGACATCTAGATTTACTAATACCATTGCTGCTACTGCTGTTGCCACTGCTGCTACTTTTCTGCCAGAGCGATGGTCATGCACGGAAGCACCTTCTTGAGAGGTCTGAGGTGCCAAGCACGCGGTATTCGAATAGAGCCCAAAGTGGCTCCGTCATGAATGACCAATATTCTTTTCGTCTAGGAGTACATAATACTATCCCACCCCTGCTTCTGGAAGGATGCCGATGTGACGCTGGTGGTGGCGTATTTCGACATGCAGGGCCACTTGAGGGAGACGGTCGGTAGCCCAGCCTGGCCGATTCTTTCCGGCAGCGTATATTTCCTGGTTTCTGATTAGCTTCCCAGACAGCGATTCACGCTGTAGGATTTTGAAGTTGGGACCAGCAAAGGTGGGTGTAAAGATCTCGCAGCGCAATTGCCTTTGATTACAACCCCTGCTATGCTTGTCGCAGGTGGTGTTTTAGTTTGTCTATCTGTTGCACCCTTTACAAGTCTGTTTTCGTGAGTCTCAGAAGTCGCATTTTTTGCGCTGTCCTGGTTACATTTCTTCTTTTCTGGACAGGCTGTTGTTATCATTCCTTGTGGTCTTCTGATGGAGACTATTATTGCATATGCTCTTTTTTAAAAGCCGTCTTGCTAGTGTTATAACTTCTGCTCCTACTCCTCCTCAAACTACTAGAACGGTTACCGCTGCTGCTGCTGCTGCTGCTGGTCCTGCTGCTGCTTCTGCTGCAAGTACCACTTTTGCTACGATGTCAACCAGCACCAGCACCACCCTTTTCCGCGCCGCAGATTCCGACGAATCACCCCTTCAAGAAGATTGTCGGTCTCACATACTTCTCCCAGACATCGACGACGGAGGAGATCCCGGCACCTGGAGGACGGTTTGGGGTTCAGGGCATGGCCTGCACCCCTAAACCATAAGACCTGAATGGAGTACAGGTGTACGGATTAAGTTGGGTGAGACTTGCAGGCTTCAAAACCTCTTGTTTTGCCAGGCAACGTCACCCTGAAGATGGAGCAGGCTACCAAAGAGCCCTACTACCACCTTTGCGAGGCAGCCTCAAAAGTGGACACCAAGTGGTTCGTGCGGGCCTCAGTGGGATAGCCTTAAAGTGAGTACCAATACTTTGAATGCCAATCCATTGTGTGACCCTGGACTTTCATGAAAGCTTTTAACAAAAGAGCTTGCAATCCTGGGTCAGCGAAGGGGTCCTACAGCTCTTTTAGCAGGAATGTTCCGGGAACAGATGTCCTTTCTACTGTGCAGTTACCAAGAGTTAGTGCCCGTGCAACAACAATATAGTTTGCGGCCGGGTGTGGGGCCATTCAAAATGGCATTGATCCAGCATTTCACAGAAACAAACATAGGTTTGGTGTCACGCTGCCGTGATACCTTTCTGGTCCTCGAAAACTATTATTGTGGAGGCCTGATGCAACGCCATATTATTTTCTAACTCTGCTCATGTACTACGCTATGCCTCCAACCTGCCTGTAGTTCTAGTTCTGACTATACAGGAGATTACTTAAAGAGTTAGCTCAGCCACGAAGGTTTTGAATCAGGGATGACATGAGCACAGGGGATAGTATGGGTGGCGGTGGGCTGCGCGTAATGAAGGGTCCATTCTTGCCAGAGTTCGCCCCTTCCTGACACCTGAGATGAGGGTCTTCGAGAAAACCTCACTTGTTGTGGCAGGTCTGTGTACAAAACAAGAAGCAGGGCTTGTCTAGTCTAGCCATTTCTCAGGCTCTCACCGACAACTATCACATCGTCAAGGCCCCTGTCAGCATTCTTATGGAGACGAAGCTTGGCTCAATTGCATCCATGCCATGATCTGTCTCGCTGGTTGTTTGTTCTGCACCTGGGTAGGTTGTAACATTTGCTTGGGGTATGCAAGGAGAACAACGGAAGGAGCCCGTCTGGTGTAGCTAGGGTTATGCATGACGACCGAACCCAACATCCTAAATCCTGAGCTCAACGCTAAACTGATGGCGCTAGACCTAGAACACTTCTAGGGATTTTCGTAGTACTGGTGCTCAGGAGAAGCATACAAGTAGTATCCCAGGGGTATAGCATGTCTACATATATGTAGTATATACTTAAATTAGACGCCCAAAAAAACAGTAGTAGTTTGTAATCAAGGTAACGTCCCAAGAAACTGGGGGCCACGGGATGGTAAAAGTGCAGCAAGGATGGACAAGCCTGTCTTGCCCTACGTGCTGAAGGGCTCCAGGTGGGCGGGGCAGCATGTGAGCTATAGTCTAAACGCCCGGTTATATAATGTAGGGTCAAGGGTTTAGAGTTCAGGTCGAAACTGCTCCAAGGGGATTATACAGGGGACTACTACAGAGGATATTGGGAAGGATACTATGCGTTTAGACTATAGCTCAGGTGCTAGGGTACTTGCAGTCTGTGAGGTTGTGGTGTTGTCATGAAAATGGGGTCTTTACCAACATCTCAGCCAACTATGGCAGTGACATTATGTAGGTAGCAAGACTTGCAGCACTCTCCCGATGAGACCTTTCGGAATATTGTCCTCATTCGCCTTGTCCTTTTCTTCAGAGTTCTAGCCAGTGGCCGTTCAACATGGAATTGCGCTAGGTACTGTGGTGAGCGCCCGAACTGCAAGGCCTCCATGGAGCAGGCAATTGAGTTGAGAGCAAGAGAAAGAGAGCTCTTCTCAGGACATGCTTGGAGCTTCATGGGTAGGCTTAGTTTTTCGCACAGGTTTGAAGGTGTAGACATTATTGTGCCATACTTGGAGGAGTTTAAACCATGCTTGCAACTATGTAAATTGGTCTCGAGGTCAAGCCTCCGGCCGATGATTAGGGGCTCCGGAGCGAAGAATCAGGTGCTAGGTAGGCAGGAAACCAATTGGGATGATTTCGGCCCTAAGGCCAACTCCTCACACCCGTTCGAGATGTGTTTTGTGCGTCAAGCCTGTGGTGAATGCGGGATCTGTGCAAAGCACATAATATAACCCCAAGATAACCCTAAGATAACCCAAATATAACCCCAAGATAACCCCAAGATAACCTTAATATAATTTGCGGAAGAGGTAAAGCCGGCTTTTGGTCCGGTGGCTGCCAGTTGGCGTCGAAGGGTGACTTGTGTGTTTTACATTAACCCCCTACGTAACCCCTATATAATCCCAACATAACTTAACAGCATGGAACATTTTTGGTTGTAATCTTCACAGCCGGGTCTTGGCATCTTGCTTGGCATGGTGCATTGCAGGCAGAAGATCTCTTCAGCATTGACTTGATGTATCACCACGACAAGTATGAGGTGCTGTACAAGACCGCCTTTTGAATGCAGTTACTAGATCAAGGGCTTCTGCGGTTGGGATCTGGCTTAAGCCGAGAGTTGTTCCACTCTTGTAAACAGCTGCATTTCTGCAGTATTGCAGAGTCATCCTTTGGATGTTCGGGAGCTTCCAACTAACCGCTGTCGCTGCTTTAGTCGGCCTGTCCCATAGTGCAGCCCGTCATTGAAGGTCAGGGGTTTCAAAGAACAGGAAGAACCTTGGACGACCCACGGGCTTCTGTGGAACCTAGCTAGGAACCCAATTCGTTGAAGACGCAGAGCATATTTCATTGAAGAAGTTTGCAACTTCTGCTGTACACGGACTGCAACGGACTGGATGGCAGTGCTAGCGCTCTCCCCAGTCAATCCTCTTACTGGTGCTTAGGAGGGAATGTGGGAATACAATCCCTATATCCCCTGAATAGTGCACCTCTCATTCCCTACTACCCCCCGGTAAGTCGTGTTACTTGGATTTGCACAGCGAGGTCAGATTTAACCACACGCTTGACGCCTGATGTTTGGGTACAACTTGCATAAAACCCTTTGCCCACAACCCTAAGCAGAAACCCTGCAGTTCCATGCTGCAAAGCTTAAGCCATTTAGCCCTACCCCTTACTCCTCCGGGCCCAAGTGCCTTTGGCTTGAACCCTCAACCCTCAACCCCAGGGCCGAACTGTTTTAAGGCAGATGCAATTCAGTTCTGCGCGGCCTGGGATGTGGCCACCCAGGGCAAGGGCTGGAGTCTACCGCCTGGCAGTTTAGTCTTCTCTTGGGATGCTATGTGGAGCAGACAGGTTATTCTTATAAGTCGGTTGAGTAGGGATTGTATGTGGTTGCTTTCAGGATTGGATGCAAAGTACATTGACTTTTAATATGGGAACAGTGTTGTGCCTATAGTCCCCCTTAAGTAGATAGAATATGGCTTTGGGTATATTACAAAAAGATCCCCATATACCCCATATTCTATCTACTTAAGGGGGACTATAACCTTAATCAGCCCTAAACCCTAAACCCTAAACAGTTTTGCATGCGAATTCATGGTGCATCGCAAGACTCAACCAACACTGAAGAAGAAGAAACCCTAAATAGTAGTTTCCATTTTCTTTTCCATTATCCCAATCTAAAACCCTATATTTCCTATATCTACTTAAGGGGGACTATAGGTTTGGCAGCTTTTCAGGCTCCTGGGTTAGAGAAGCCTTGGAGACAACAGGGAGCTAGGGGTTAGGGTTTAGGGTTTAGGTTTTAGGTTTTAGGGTTTAGGTTTTAGGTTTTAGGGTTTAGGGTTTAGGGAGACAACAGGGAGCTAGGGGTTATATTGGGGTTATATTGGGATAATGGAAAAGAACATGGAAACTATAGGGATTATTCGGGTTATATAGGGATAATGGAAAAGAAAATGGAAACTACTAAAATATTGTTCTCGTCTTTTTGTTGATCTGCGGGCTTCTCTAGACTAGGTGTCCCACTTAGCGGGTCGCTATGCTTAAGATCCCATTAAAACTTGTGACCCCTGATTTTGGGAAATGTCATTGTCTTAGATCATACGTCTGCGCTTCATGGAGACATGTGCAGCCTGCACAAGCGCACTTTCAGCCCGAAGCCCCACAAACCAGTGACACGTTCTTTCTTCAAATCAGCTCTTAGAGTAGTTTCTACTAGAAAGGCTCCAGAATGTATTTTTGGGAAGCCTGTTATTGGGCTGCAAGGGAGGAATTTGTCAGCAGAGTTGCCCGAAGCTTCTAAGATTGGAAGCCATAGTTTATGACAGAGTTTGCCTCGTGTAAGGTCACCTGCAAGCTAAGCGCTCTTTCAACAATCAAGTTTCTTTCTGTTGATAACAATTCGGTTTTCAGAATGGTCTAGCTAAGGCCCTGGGGATACTGATGATAATGTTCTGCATGCAGCGAAGGCGAGCCACAAGTAGAGCAGGGACGGCAAAAATGCACAGAGAGGATGCTGCATCTCTCGGCACTGGTCCTCCAGTTGACAAGCCGGTCCGAATATACACAGATCCCTCTCATCAGGGCCCACAACAAGGAGAAGCCTGATTTTGAGATGGTTCTGCCACGTTTCACAACTTTTCCTGCTGAGGGTGCAGCTGCTTCTCATAGTTTTCCTTGCTGAATCCTGATCCCTCGTGGTTGCACACCCACCTGGCACTTGTGTAATGAGCGTTTCCATAAACAGGGTGTCCCAATATAGATCTCAACATGCTGCAGTCCTTACTGCAGGACTCCCAACAAGGGGCTTCTAGATGTTTGGAAACCCCCTATAGATCTCAGCGTAGTCAATCAGGGAAAGGTTCTGTTTCATCAGGTCCGTTGTCATGATGCGAGACCCTGAATCTTCAACAGGGGACCGACGCGTGCTATCTCATTCGCTTGGTGCAATTTCCTTCATCTTCAACTTTGTCTCACTTGACTGGAATCATTCTTACCATTGACTCTATTGATGGAAGTTCCTGAAACTAGGGCTGCCTTTGGTGACTTGGGAGATATTGGGATGACTTCAGAATAATGCAGGGCTATGAGAAATTCCCAGTTCTGTTAAGAACAGGACAGTATACAGGGTTACTTTTTGCAAAGCTAATAGATCTGTGGGTTCTGCCAAGGCAACTGCAGTCTTTCCTTCGGCCCCACTGCAGCTGCATAGATGCAAGCAGAAGGGCAAGTTCCAGCAATATCTGAATCAGGGAATGTGGGTATTCCTGTTGTTTTTGCTGCGAGTACGTGAGTTTTACGCAAGGGTACCAAGATGGGCATGAGTTTGGCAGGGCTTGCCTTTTTTGGTTGTCAAATCTCTTCGTTCTCGTGGCTTGGAACGTCTTGTTAAGTCTGAGGGATGGCGGCATATGGCGGCTGTAGTTCAAGGTTTCTTTGTAGTGGTGGACTGGTGGCGAGGACGTTAATTTGGTTGGACAGTGGGTTTGTGAAGATAGTTGTGTAAGGTTAATCTCATGGAAGAGGTCCCTTCAGCAAACAGCACCAGGGAACAGAGGGTGCTTGCTGCAAATTCTCTGTATTCATCATCTTTGAGCCCCAGACAGTAGAACACTATCCGCTGTCAGAACAAGGATGACTACATCGCCTGGAAGATCAGTTCTCCGTCTTTCAACGTCAGCAATGAGTTCACACCAAAGGACAAGGCCTGATGTGAACGCGGTCACTTATACATATATATATATATATTTTGGGGTTTTATAGGGATAATGGAAAAGATGGGGGTCATTTTGGGGTTATATAGGGGTTATCATCATCCTTAGAATCATCATCGTATTCAACTTCACCGCAGCGCAGACTCTTCTGCGGCGTTGTGAAGAAGTACTCAACTTCACGTGGGTATTTCTGAGAACTGGGTTTCCCACACGCATCCCCCCTGATCGTTACCATGGGGACTCCCCACTTCTGGAAATTCCTAAAACCTTAAATCCTACATCCTAAGTCCTAAACCATGTAGAACAAGTGCACCTGGGTCGTGCTGTAAGCAGTTCCAAAACCATGACCTGAGGAGAAAAGGTCCGATAGAAAACATATGGGTGGTTGTCAAAATTATGGTCCCTCTGTGGGTACCCGAAATATTAGGTGTCGTATTACAATAGGGATCCAAAAAGGGACCATAATTTTGATAACCACCCATATTGATGATGCCGATGTCCACTGTCAATACAGGCACATCAGCCTTAGGACCGCAACCGTGTCGAGATCGCAGGTTCTGCCCCATCCCCAACACGTCACGATGTCACTGTGTTCTGTGCTGTTCTCATTATTGCCATTTTTGTCCATGTTATTTTTCTCATATATACATGTTTACCATTTGCTTTATTGTCGTTAGTATTAGTCTACAAGACATGACCACCAGCACTATGAGGGATGCGACTGACAAGAAACGTCGCCGAACCCTGAAGCTTTTCCGCCGCGCCACTAGCCCCTAATGGCAGGCAAACAGGAGTACACAGAAATTTTCCGGCCGCATCCTCGGCCAAGGTAGAAGATGTCAGCAAGCCTTTCCTGCTAAATAAAACAAGCTGAAAACCTGGGGATCCAAAAAGTGAGATTTGTTTGTAGCATGCTCTTGCAGACTCCGGGCTCTCAGTTAGCAATGGACTTAGAATGCAACTCCCCTCTGCACCTGGGCCCCGACATTTATGCCCGGAACTGCAAGCTCCGATCTTTTGCAGACACGCTACGGCTGGAGAGCTTGGACGAGCTTGTGGAACCCAGCTCCGGTTGACGACCGCCAGTGCAGCACCACGCTGTATGGCATCAAGGTGGCTTCCAGAATGTAAGCATGAAAACGGGGAGATATGGGGGGGGGGGTGTATATGGGAAACTTACTCCAGGGATGGAGAATGAAATGGAAACAACACATGGAAAATGTAATGGAAACTGGGACGATGCATCGGATTGATATGGCAACAGCCATATGGAACTTTCTGAAGAGTGTAGGGTCTGTAGTCAGGACTCTAGTGCTTTGGCGGGCATATCAGGGACCGTTTTGTTAGAACCTTCCTGTTCTCAGGAGTGAGAGGGCTAGAACTGACCATTGGTAAATCAAACAGCATCGACCAGTAGCAGTAGCGTCATGGATATTGTAGACCCAAAGCCAGAGAAGGACACTCCATAAAGGAGAAGTTTTTCCTTGTAGCTTCGGAGTTGAGTCGTGGTGGTGGTGGTGGTGGTGGTGGTGGTGGTGGTGGTGGTGGTGGTGGGGGCGGTGGTGGTGG